CGATGGCGGTGGTAATGACGATGACGATGACGATGATGTTGCTGATGCTGATGCTGCTGATGCTGCTGATGCTGCTGATGCTGCTGCTGCTGCTGATGATGATGATGATGATGGTGATGGTGATGATGACGATTTGGATGGTGATGGTGGTGATGACGATGTGGATGTGGATGTGGATGTGGGTGTGGGTGTGGATGTGGATGTGGATGTGGCTGTGGATGATGATGATGATGATGATGATGATGATGATGATGATGATGATGATGGTGTGTGTTAATGACGATGACAATGACGATGATGATGCTGATGCTGATGCTGCTGATGCTGCTGCTGCTGACGATGATGATGATGATGATGGTGATGGTGCTGGTGCTGGTGATGATGACGATTTGGATGGTGATGGTGATGATGACGATGTGGATGTGGATGTGGATGTGGGTGTGGGTGTGGATGTGGATGTGGATGATGATGATAAGGATGATGATGATGATAATGATGATGTCGATGGCGGTGGTAATGACGGTGACGATGACGATGATGATGCTGATGCTGATGCTGCTGATGCTGCCGATACTGCTGATGCTGCTGATGCTGCTGCTGCTGATGATGACGATGATGATGATGACGATGATGATGATGACGATGACGATGATGATGGCGATGATGATGATGGTGATGGTGATGGTGATGGTGATGATGACGATGTGGATGTGGATGTGGATGTGGATGTGGGTGTGGGTGTGGGTGTGGATGTGGATGTGGATGATGATGACGATGATGATGATGATGCTGATGATGATGGCGGTGGTAATGACGATGACGACGACGATGATGATGCTGATGCTGATGCTGCTGATGCTGCTGATGCTGCTGCTGATGATGATGATGGTGATGGTGCTGGTGCTGGTGATGATGACGATTTGGATGGTGATGGTGATGATGACGATGTGGATGTGGATGTGGGTGTGGATGTGGATGTCGATGTGGATGTGGATGTGGATGTGGATGATGATGATGATGAAAATGATGTCGATGGCGGTGGTAATGACGATGACGATGACGATGACGATGCTGATGCTGCTGATGCTGCTGATGCTGCTGATGCTGCTGCTGCTGATGATGATGATGATGGTGATGGTGCTGGTGATGGTGACGATTTGGATGGTGATGGTGATGATGACGATGTGGATGTGGATGTGGATGTGGATGTGGATGTGGGTGTGGGTGTGGATGTGGATGTGGGAGAGAGCGTGATCCACCGCCGCTTTACTGTGGAAAATTGCAAACCTTTTCCTCTGGAACCCGGGGGTCGCCCCCCCCCCCCTCCGCAACTCCCCCCCCCTGGTAGAACCCGTTTCCCCCCCCCCCCTCCCTTTCCCCTCGCAAGAAACCCCCTCCCCTTAACCCCCCTCCCCCCCCCCCCTCCCGCTCGAAACCGGGGGGGGTCACTACCCGGCTCGAGCCCCTCCCCCCCCCCCCCCGCACCCTCCGATGCCGGAAACCGGGGGGGTCCCACTACCGGTTCGAACCACCCCCCCCCCCCCATCGCCCCCTACTACCGCCAGCAAACGACTCCCGGTCCCCACCACCGTCCGCATCACATCCCCCACTGGTGTTCCCAGCACCACTGTCCTCACCACCGCTGTCCCCACTGGTTCCACCACCGCCCTACTGTCCCCACCAGTGGCCCCACCACTGTCGCACTGTCCCCGCTGTCCCCAGAACTGTTCCCACCACGGTTCCACTCTCCCCACTGTCTCCACGGCCCCAACCACTGCCCGACTATCCCCACTGTCCCCACTGTCCCACTGACTCCTCCGCTGTCCCAATGAGCTGTCCCACTGTTCCCACCACTGTCCCCACTGTCCCCACCACTGTCCCCACTGTACCTCTGTCCCATTGTCCCACCGCCGTCCTCGCCACCGCCTTCACCACTGTCCCCACCACCATTGCACCCTCCACTGTCCCACTTTTTCCACCTCATTCCCATTGTCCCCACACCACTGTCCCCACCACCACCGTCACCACCACTGTCCACTGTCCCCCCCTGTTCCCACCATTGTCCCCACCACTGTCCCCACCACTACCGTCCCCACCGCTGTCCCACTGTTCCACTGTCCCCACCACTGTCCCGCTATCCCCTCACCACTGTCCCCACCAACACCGTCCCCACCACTGTCC